GTTCCAGGTCAGTCTCAACTACATAGTGAGACCCTGTCTCAAAAAAAAAAAAAAATGCCCACAGCTTTACCTCTTTTTAAAAAGTTTTTATTTATTTATTTATTTTTTAGACAGGGCTGACTGAACTGATGAGAGAAGCCTATGGGTTTGGTCAGATGAGGGGGGATGTTTGTTCTCAGTGCTGGGCATTGAACCCAGAGGCTCACACTTACTAGGCAAGTGTTCTACCTCCCAGCCACACACCCAACCCTATTATGATTTTTATTTGGGATATTGCTGGTGTTTTAATGTTCTACCTTTTGCAAATACAAGGAAATATTAGTCCTTTTTTCTTTTTTTTTTTTCCAGCTTTAATTGAGTTTATTGGTACATTTTAGGGATACAGCACAGTTACATTCATTGTTGGGATCTTGTACCTCTACATGACAGTTCTTGGTTCTCATTTTTTCCCCTTGTTCCTGCTCTCCCTTCACCCCTTCCTCCCCTCCCCATCTACAAACGCTTTATTTCCATCTTTTCATTATCTCACGTTTTTTTCTTTTCCCTTATTACCCTTCCCCAACCCATCCCACCTTCCCTACACCTTTAGCTCCTTTCTTCCCATTTCTAAATGTCAGTAATCTTATTAGGATCTTATGTATTATTGCAGATTATTCACACCAGAGAAACTATTTGGTATTTACACATGTGTGACTTATTTATTTCACTTAGGAGTATATCTTCAATATGTATCCATTTTAGTCCTTTTTTCTTAAGCTCTCTGTGACTCATAACAATTTCGTAGACTCTTATTTTTAAAGCAGAAACAGAAATTTCCAAGTTGTCCTTTTTCCCTGTTCAACCCTTCTAGCATTCGGAGACTACTATTGATGTTATGGTTTATATCTAGATGTCTCCCGAAGCCTCAGGGGCTCATAGGCAGGGCCCTGGGCCAGTGACTGGACTATGTGAGCCTTGCAGGTGACTGTGGGGCAGTGGGGCCTGGTTGGAAGAGGTGGGCAATTGTGGGCATGGCCCAGAAGACTGTATCTCCCGCCCCAGCTCCTCGCTAGTCCCTGCTTCCTGTGTGCCTTGCCTGGAGCAGTTCCCTCTAACGTACGATGGCATCCTGCCTTGGAGCCAGCTGACTCTGGACTGAAACATAAGGCCAAATAAATCTCTTCTTTCTTAAATTGTAGGTGTCGGGTATTTTGTCCCAGCAATGAAAAATGTGACCAAGACAGTTGGCCATTCTTATTGTAATGGCAGTATATTTATTTGGATGAGTTTGGAAAGAATTTGTCCTTCTTGTCGCCTGTGGTGGTGCATGCCTATAATCTCAGCAGTCCAAGAGCCCGAGGCAGGAGGATCACAAATTTAAATCCAGTATGGGCAATTTTAGTGACTTGGTGAGAGCGTGTCTCAAAACAAAAATTTTAAAAAGGGCAGGGGCTACAGCTCAGTGTGAAAACATTAGGCTTAATCCTCATTACTGCAAGAAAAGAATAGAAAAAAAAAAGCAGCACCTGTTACAGGGAAATAATTAGAAGTATGCAAGAAAGATCTTGCCTGGAATATCACATTTTGAAAACGGTGTGTGCCTAATTAAGATCAGCAGGTGGTTTTAAGGAACTAAGGCTGACTTCATGGAGTCAAGTCATACAAAGCCCTTTTTGGGAAAACTAGCCCCGTACCTTACTGCAGTGCTCCTAGCCTTATAGGTGAGTAAGGAAAGGTACTGGCTGGCAAATTGGGAAGCTTAGAATAAACTGGGGGCCTTAGAAAGCAGTTCGGTCAGATTTATGGCTGTGGTAGGCAGGTTCTCAGCTTGGTTTCTTATCCTCAAGAAGTTTTTAAAAGTCTAATGTGATGTAGTTCAGTGCAAAGGCCCTGGGCTCACCCTCTCCCCACTGTACTACCCATGCACATGTACACACACACACACACACAAGTTTAATGTGAAATCCCTTATGATAACATCCAGCAGAGCACGACGTGGTAAGTGGACAGGTCAGATCTGATCATGTCACCCTATGGAGAGGGTCAGAGGAGGTTCCCACCAATCAGGAACCCGGACTCACCCTACCCAGAAGAAGCTGCAGCTTTGAGGACTCTCCTTCCAGGAAAAGAACCCCCAGACTGGTCAGTCAGAGGCACAGAAGGGATCAGGCCTGCACCCTCTGGGTGCAGCTGTGCTTCTCTAGAGCGGGTGGAGACTTCAGGGGAAGGTGGCTCCCCCAGAAAGCGATGGCCCATTTTATGGGTATGAGCCCAGTTTTAAATTAAGCAGTCTTTGAATTATGTCAGCCTGTTCCTTTATCTTAGAATCAGGGGCCTGCCCTTTATGTGTTTAAAGCTAATTTATGGGCTTGCTGTATTCTTGAGGAATTCGGGGTGTTTTGGGTCTGGAAGAAAAGGAACCTAAATTAACCATGGGAATGCCAAAATGAGGCCTTGGGTAACTTTGATTGGACCCTGGAAGTTGCAGAGTCTCTCTCTCTGTCTTTTCTTTCTTTTTCTTTTTTTTTTTCTT